TACGTTTTTGTTCCATATTTGTTTCCTCATTTTTCTGTGTTTGTTTTATTTGCCTTTCTTGGCGAGTTTACTGCGTCATAGGTGCATACTTGACGTATAGCCCTTGAGTGTAATTTCCATTGCAAAGGTTCCGTCTTAAGGCTGTCCTGTTCAAAGCACATCACTCCTCCCTCCATATTTTTTATGAGCCATCTACCCTATGAGGACGACGGTTTTCCACTACGTTTTAAATTACTTACTATGGCTGAGGTAGAACTTGTTGCGGGTCTCTTTCTGGAAGTGGCTGGTACCCCAAGTTCATCCATATTATTTTATTTTCCAATGTTATTAAGTACAAGGTATATCCCATCTTAGATATTTTAAATTCCTGATCTCAACACATCTATATGATCTGAATTTATGAATATCTTCCATCTAAAGGGCTGTTACATACCCTCTCCCAAAACGATCAATATTTGGTCACATTACACTGCCTATGTAACACTAAACAAATCAAAATGTAGTTCTGATACATGGTATTCCACGTTGACTGCATATCGATTGTGTTTGTGATGTGACCTTCTAAATTGTACACAACCGTCTATAATTATATAAATTTCATCAGAATATTTATAATACAGCTGAAACATTCATATTAGGTGTTATTGTGGAGACCAGGAGAGACAGTTCTTCTCAAAACCTCCCAATACTCTCCAAAGTTTTCATTATAGTTTTAGTGTTATCTTTGTACCAAACTCTTGCATCCTTCTAAAGTTAAAACTTTTTAAGCGAGTTGGAGTGGTTTCTGTGAATATGATGCATTTTTCTTCTTCCTTCTTAAATTAGTGACAAGAATATCCCTTTTTAGTATATAAACAGTGTGTAAAGTGTAAGTAGTGAGAAAACCATACGAAAATAAAATATTAACTGAACAGCTAACTGATGAAACATATTGGATTTTGATGGCTTAATGACTTGCACAGTGAGAAAGGTTCCCACGTTCAGTAGTTGCTACATAGTCACAGCAAGCTAGTTAAAAGTTGTCATAAGTTTCTAGGAATAATCAGATGTATATGTTCTGAATTTTTAATTTAGAACTCTTTAAATAAGAGACACTTGGATATTTTTTACTCATGATGTTTATTACACAACTATAGAGGATTATTGGGAAACTGTTCAATTATGAAACCTGTCATTTGCACCAAAATTAACTTCCTTGTATTTTGGAGGAACCAATTTATTTTAGAGTTATCGGGATCTCTGTTTAATTGCTAAGAAAGTACTCGTATATATATATAAAACTTATCATTTGGTATTTGGATATCTGTTATCAACAATATAAGTCTATTTCATTCAAGTCTCTGATTAAGTAATTAGCCATCAGCAACTCTTGCTTCTTGAAATAATTTAATTTAGTATTAACTTTATGTTTTTTAACATAACACTGTTCTTTTATTAATACACATTTATCAATAAAACTATAGAGTAGGCCTAAGTTTTGTTGTCTTCCATTCTTGTAAAACTACATTCACATCACTATATCACATTAAGCTTATCACTGATTGAACACACTGCAGTGTTCATATTATCATTAGGACTTGGGTATCTTTGTTCTAAAGTTAAAAAGAGTGTGGTGTTATAACAGTAGCTACTCTGTGGAAGAAACTGATTTCTTTTTGCCTCATAGATGTTGCCAGCTCCTGGAAAAAGGTGCTCACTAAACACACTGCTAGCTGGATAGCTAGCACCAATATAGTATTGGAATTTGTCACAGTTTCCACAACAATAATAGGTTATTCACTTTAAAAATAGTCGAGATAAATAAAAATTAATTTCACTAGTGACAGTAACTTCTTTGTCATGACTTGTTTGACCAAGATGTTAATGATACAGTATCAGCAGATATTTCACTGTACCACACCCAGTATGAGTCATATGTCTCTTGCCATAAACTTTAAATAGGTGGTGGTGGTGCTAATGGTGAGGAGACATCTAAAGTAGTGGTCCTCAATTATTGTTTCTTAATGGAATTCCTCAAGAACCAAGGACAATCTCGCAGATCCCCATGCTCAGGTAGATCTACCTGTGGAAGGCTTCCACAGTGTATAAAAAACAGCACTGATGAAAATATATATGTGAGTTAATGAATTTTTGATATAACCATATTTTCATTTAACTGAATATAGTATCATTTATTTTAACTTCTTTTTACAGCCGCAGAACTCCTTTAGAATACTCATGGACTGTTAAGGGGTCTACAGACTACAACTTCTATCATTTCTCCTACAGTATCTCTATATTCAACCACATCTCATTGTGAACTTGTTAGTATCAACAATTTCTGTTTTGTTGCTCATTCTGTTGTTCTTTGAAACATGCTACTTTAAAGTGAGGATACAACAAAGTAGCCGAGGTGGAAGTTGGATTGTATTCCAGCAAATCTAGATACAAACCTTTCTCTCAAGGATGCTTTCGTTGTTTCCAGTCCTCGTGGTATGTGATACTACAAAAAGGAGTAACCACAGTAAGGATATTACTGTTCTTAGTAAGTTCTTCAAATATAGCAATATTTTCGTTTAACTGAATATAGAATTTTTTGTATTTTTTGTTACCATCATGGAACCCTTTTAGAATGCTCTTGGACCTGTTGCTTATATGATGCAACTAAAATAAAATCATGACAATTAATCTCCTAGTTTTCTTCTGGTCATATTCATAAACCCTTTATCATCAGTAAAACTGAATATGGTTTGTTATCTATAGCAATTATTTCATTGACTGGATAGTGTAACTCTTTTTAAAATGATGACAAATAATCTTCCACATGTTTAACTAACTTTTCCTGACATCTTTAATAGTTTCTAAATTAAATATAATATTTTCAAACTTGTAAGGCTTTACTGTTACTTGCTAACTATCTGTGATCATATGAAACATAAGTAAATGATTTTATATTATTTTCACTATCATTATGTGAAACATGAGTAAACTAATTTATATTCTTTTCACTATGATTATGTGAAACGAGTAAATGATTTTATATTATTTTCACTATGATTATGTGAAACATGAGTAATTGATTTTATATTATTTTCAACAACTGTAATAAACCTCGCTGGTCATTAATTTGATGTATATTGTATATATCCTGACCTTTAAGAGTATGATGTTGGTTAATCTCTAATCTTCTGGCATCTCATTACTTTTTATTAGATTTACCAAAAAATATGGACAACAGTTCATAAATTTGCTCTTTTGTTTCATTCATTATCTTACATTACTATTAACTGGCCCAGTTGCTTTATCTTCTTATCAAGGTTCTTATCTTGAACCTTACCAGCTTAATCCTCACTTCATTCAAGGATATTCTACTTTAATACGTGTGAATAATACATTTGGTTTATCATCATTGTAATAAAAAAATTTGAATTTTTATTTTTACTTTTCTTCCGGGCTGGGTATGTAAGGGGAGCCTCATTTGTTCCCGACTGTTATAATATGATGAATAATTTGGCAAGCATTATTTATGGAAATGACTATAACACCAACAATACTTTTAATTTTTATTTTAGGTATGCACATGACATTGTACTATAATCATTGGTAGTTTAAGTCTTCGTTACATACTATCTGTCTCTTTCAGTATATTTAATAATGTATTTTTTTCACCCTACTCAGGGTATAGTGTGGGTTCCACGAGTAGATCTCTCTTCAAAAGATATGTGTGATTATTTGCCGAGTATTTGTCCAAGTTCCCAACTGATCGAAGTCATTATGTAGTACCTCATGAGTTTCAATGTATGTAGAAATACCCAAGAGTTTAATACCACCAGCTATCTTTAATAATTATGTTCCTATCATTATCATAAATAAAAAAAAGGCAAAGATCCAATCACTGATCCCTGAGATACAACACTATTAACAAAGGTCCAGGTTTACTTTTGTTTACTTTCCCTCACCCAGCTACCCTACAATTGAGTAAACTCTTCAGAGAGGTATATGTTGTAGCAATAATATAAGTAACAATATCCTGTTCACTTGATGATATTTATTACTTACATAATTGATTGTTTAAAAGTTTTTGCTAAAAAATGGGAGGATCCCAGTTTTAAGGGCAGAAAACCTGAATGTTCTAGTTTAAGATTTTAAAATTTAAACTGTACATTTAACAGAACCTAACAGTTAAGTTAAAGTTGACCTCAAGCCTAACCTACTACAGTCTAATTACTACACTTTTGTTTATTGTTAAGCACAAAGCTACACAATGGGCTATTTGTGCTGTTATCGAAACCCGATGTTGTGTTAAGTTACTACATCTTATCAGCGTGTATATTTGCTTTCATAAAGGAGTTCCTATTACTATTATATTAACACTAAGTAATGTGAATACAATCACAGGTTACTGGTAAGTTAGTAACATGAAGTTCTGAGGATAGATTACTAGTTAGTTACCACATATCAATATCAGAACACTCATCATTAAGAATACGATGCAGGCTGGTAGTAGAAGTTATAACTCATCCACGATAGGGTCAGTATCATGGTAGAATAGCAAAATAAAAACACTAAAAAACAACAACAACGGATATCTAAAGAGACAAAAACCAAGAATCGTTGTATCTATTTTGGTAAAATTACTTCACATAAAAATAGGCTTAACATTTATATACTCTCCATTAAAACGCTCTCTAACACTAACAATGGTATTGTCAATAAACAAGTATTGATCTGAACTTCTCACCAGAAAACCTGCTACGGTTTTTAATGGAAAACTAAAGAACGATTGATATTTCAAATTTGCTGTTATAGAATACATTAATTTCATTTGAATATATCAAGAGAAATAACCTTTAATAAGTATTACTTGTTTGAGATAATCCAAAAATTTACGTTACAGTTTGTCGCCAAACTATGCTGAACCACATTTTCGTGATACTACTACATTACTAGTATTAGTCAATACTGAAGAGTTGTACTATGCTAGCGAATTTTGTCAGAGTGCTAAGGCGGAGTGAGGAAGAAAGCTGGTAGTTACAGAGGGTTCTTAGGCGAGTTTTCATTAAAGCTTTGTTGAATTAATCACCTGACAAAACAAAAACACAGTCATTCAGAGAGTAAAACTGAATCATGCATTTTTAACGAATGGTCCTTATGAAGAAGTTTCGAAAATACTTAAAGTTGTGCATGATTTTTTGTGTCCACTACACGCAAAAGCCGTTTTGTCAAGTCGAGGAAAATGTACGCAGGGAACTCGTTTCAGCGTTCACCAAAACTGTCTGGACGAACAGAAATGACAACCTTGAGTCATAGGCCGTCGCCTTCTAAGCTTTACACCTCCTCAATTTCCCAGCCTCCTTCTGTCAGGGGCAGTCCCACTCCTTCAAGGATAGCCCCTTCTCCTTCGCAAACATTCAGACCTCGTCATTACAGAATCAGTAGATCCAGTAATAATAGCCCACTAAATTTGCCAGGGGAGCTTCATTTTCCTCATTCAATTAGTAGCAGTACATTTAATACTGGCGCTGTTTACAACGGTGACGAATTCAACAGCCCCATTATGGACATCCGAACAAGTGGTGCTGGACATCGTAGCCGCTCCGTAAGCCGACCCGTGCGTAGTTATCACGTGCTAGAAAGGGGTCCCGAATATATTACTGCTCGAGAGGCTAGACAAAGGTCTCTCGATGCAGGAGACATAGTTGGCAGACCCCCCAGAGCCCGGGACCGTTCACTAGAACGATATGTGTACAGGGAGCTGGAACAAGGCGATGTCTATTATCCGGAACGTGAATCTGTAATTGAATCCGATCCGTATAGAGAACATGGAATGTGTAACGTTCGTAATTCACACGCTTTTACCGTTCATAATGTAGAGAAGCAGAATGATTATACTCGTGAAAATTTTGTGTTGGAACTTCAGTCACGTCTGAATGAGCTACAAAATCAGTACGGAAACATGAAACGGGAACTTGATGTCACCACTCAGAAACTAGGCTCCAGCATGCACAGCATTAAGACGTTCTGGAGCCCAGAGTTAAAGAAAGAGCGTGCTTTACGAAAAGAAGAGGCCGCCAAGTATGCTTTGATAAATGATCAGTTGAGAATTTTTAGGTCTGAAAATCAGGTAAGGTGGGTCGTTATTGTTTATGTTACTGAATTATTTGAATGTTCTAGAATATTCGAAAAGAACCAAAGCGTCAAACAGTCACATTTTATTGCTGTGAAAATCGTTAAATTTGTTTTTCGTCAATCAATGTCACCATAAGATGTTAGCATGACATTATTTTAAAAAGATATTAAATATATATATATATATATATATTTATTTATATTTACTTAAATTACACTGACTTTACATACATCGTTTGACCAACATTTTAAAGAAAGCTCAATTATAAAGCAGGAAAGAATTAAATCTCACAGGTGAATTCAGAAACAATATTAGAACAAACAATAAAAAATCGCAAAACCAAGTCATTATACGCATTTGTATCGTCAATACACTGCTTACATAGCAACAACATCATTTAGGATTGTTTTCAGGAAGTACTGGCACTATATTATTGTAATTAATTTAGTAAAGAACTTAGCCGACAGTGTATGCTTTTATTAACATTTTATTTTCTATGTTTTCAAGTGTATATCGCAAAGTTCGTTTTCTTAACAAAGTGTTATACGTTTGAAGATAAGGTCAAAAATAATCCGTTTGACGAGGTAGAGTGTCGGATAGCGCCTTTACCTTTATTTGAAATAGTTGTTTTAAAATGAGTTAATTCTGACAAAGGAAAGATTTCTAACTTGTGTATTTTAAAGTTTGGGACGTGCTCTCCTTTGAAACACAGTTTAATTTTCTAATAGTATAAAAATATTTACCTTAAAACATTACAATGAAAATCGCCGAAGATTTTATAACTGTTAATCATTTGTTCAACACTTTAGAGTATGGCAGAGTAAACATTTTTACAGGGGAAGTGGTGAAAATGTATTTAATCGTAAACTACCGAGGATTTGAGGATCTAATTCTTACAGAGCTTACTACTGTAAACGTAGTATAAACTGTAGATGTAAGGCATGTTTTGCTACTCCAGAAGATATACACTTCAGCATATACTGAAAACCAATTATAATTATTCTTATTATGCTCATAATAGTAAGAAAAAAGTAAGATCAAAAGAGCTTGGTAAATCACATAAAAACACACGATAAAACGTTTTTGTTATTTTTCTTGGCATGTTTATTGGAACAATAATTTTTTGTATTCTTTATGCTTTACAAGACATTCCACTAGGTTAAAATTTTGAAATGCGATAATGTAGAGGGTTGTTAACTCTATAGAGCTGAAACGTAACAGATTGCAAATGTCCAATTTAAATAATTAGAGTTAGAATATATTTTTAATATATGTAAGTTCGGGGTCAAAAAGCATCATATGAAGATAAAGTTTCTACAATTTTAAATTGTTAAATAATCACCCGGCCCCCGATATTATTTATTAAATACAACACTGTTTTCTGTACAAGGTTTTATGGAACATTCGGCGTAGTTTCAATGTGAAGTGCGTTGAATTGCATCATAGAAGGGGATGTTTTATTAACAAAATCCTACCCCCTTGAACCCATAGTTGATATTTTGTTAACAAAAATCTACTCTCTTGAACCCATAGTTGATATTTTGTGAACAAAATCCTACCCCCTTGAACCCATAGTTGATATTTTGTTAACAAAATCCTACTGTCTTGAACCGATAGATGATATTTTTGGACTAGAAAGCGTAACATTAGGGAATAAGCCTCTACTTATTTGTGGGTAAAATTAGATATAAATTGTGTGATAGACGAGTTCTGTTGTTGCTCCTAGCTACAACGTCACCCACTTAATCGATAAAGACAGGCAAAAGTGCACCCATTTTCCACACTGTGTACAACCCCATAACTCTGGAAATAAAAGCCCAAAACAGTGGAAATTCACACTCGAAGCTAATTAAGCAGCATTACTCAGTTAAATGTACGTGTTTTTTGTTTCCTAAATCATAATTCGTTGCATATTCTCTAGTCATAACCTGAACTATATATGCATCATCTGTTATGCAATAACGCGTGCTGTTAGACAATCAGCTTACCGTTTGAAAAACTGTCACAAAACTGTGAGACTTGCAAGTTGGACTGAAGTTTTTTTTTAATGTGTGAAGTTAGAGGTACGTCTAAATGTTTAAAGTGAGCTGTAAAATGTTTGGTTTTCGATGAGGTTTCGGACTATGACAAACACCAAACCTCTTTCGTAATTTATAGGATGTGTAAGTTTGTTTAAAATATTTTCAGTTGATACAACATATATTATCGGAATAAAAGAGAAGCAAAACCCGATATCTAAACTTAATTAACGACCTCTGAAATATAAAAAAGGCAAATGTATTATTAATATTCTGTTGTTCATACCATAGTATAAATCATAAGTTCTTAAAATGTTTGATTTTCTGATCTCAGTGCAATTATAATATTTTATAATCTCTGAGTGCGACAGCGGATAAACAACATGACAACCGGAAACTTTTTTTTCTTCTTCTGGCATTTGATGTTTTTGAAATCGATTTTATCTCACAATGAAAGGAATAGAAGGGAAAAATAAAAATAAGAAAATATTTTATTTATTGGAAACTTTCCAATAATTTTAAAATTTATACACTAATTCTCATCTTTGTATGATGAATTTTTGAAAATCATTTTTCAATTGTCCACCGGTGGGACAGCGGTAAATTTATAGACTTGCAACGCTAAAATTTGAGGTTTGATTCTCTGCGGTGGACACTGCAGATAGGCCAATGTGGCATTACTCTAAAAAAATAAATAAACAAACGTTTTTTAACTATTCTGTTTTGATTTGTCCCCCCCCCCCAGTGGCACAGCGGTTTGCCTGCGGACTTACAACGCTAGAATTCGGGTTTTGATACCCGTGGTGGGCAGAGCATAGATAGCCCATTGTGTAGCTTTGTACTTAATTACTATGACATGTTGAGTGTATTTACACCAGTAAATATTCTTTTACGAATTGTTACAATAACAAATGTTTACTTTATATCAATAATTGAAACAAATACAACGGCATTATCTAAATTTTCTGCAATAAATTGATTTTGCTTGATCATGATAGTAAAACAGACTTTTAGATTAGCATACGCATTAAAATGTTTAGTGACGTATAGTCGATAAGTCAATAATATCGCATAACGAAGACTGTGATGACGTTTTAGAGCGAAGTTTGGTCCTCTGGAGTTCGGAGCTGGCTAATATAGGTTCGAATCCGTTCGATACTACAAAATATTCTACATATTTAAGCTATTGGTGCGTTATTAGAGTGACAGTCAATCCCTTAGCGTGGTAGAGTGCTGCTGACTGGCTACCTACCCTCTAGTTAGTAGTTCAAAATTAGGGACTTTATAAAAACTTAGTCGATTCACGTTATCGACTGCTTTGATAGATATTTCGAGCAATGAGTCATCTCTCGAAGATGCATGTTTTTTTCTTACAACGAGTAGTTGGTGTAAGACTGAAAGCTAGCAAGATTCAAGAACCCTATTTTTATAAAGTGTTCTTTGAAGGAATCATTGTTAATCCGTTAATTTTTATTCTTCTAGTCACGCTACCTCCTATTTCCTATTTTACTTTCTTTTTTACCAATCAATTATTTATATGTACTCCACTGTGCATATGAATATATTAATGTTATACCTCGTATATCTATCTATTATATCTTTTCACAATGAATAGCAACAATGGAGTATAATCACATACGGGTCTTTTAGTGTTAGATACCATATATTTTGGACTGCCGCCCTTAATCGATTTAGCGACTGTCTTTCTCTCTAACGAAGAATACAGTTCTGTTGAATAACTAAAACAGGAAACACTGATTGGAAAACGTGACTGCTTCTGTTTCACATATAATATTCTAAATTTTTGCTAGTATTAGTTTTTCAGAATCACCCATGAACATGATTATTTAAATTTATCAATTAATCAAGCTTTCTGAGTGGATAATTAATTGATTTTGGTTCAGCTCGATGAGAGTTTCCACCTCAGATAACTGTTTCATTTCAGTAGAGGGCGCTGTGAGTTTCATACTGGTTCATTTCGGTAGAGGTCGCGGTGATTTTGCACATTGATCATTTTGGTAGAGGGCGCGATGAGTTTCAACATCAGATAACTGATTCACTTCGGTAGAGGGCGCGGTAAGTTTTTACAGTGTATAACTGGTTTATTCTGGTAGAGGGCGTAGTGAATTTCCACGTGGATTACAGACTCATTTTGATAGATAATGCAATGTGTTTAAGGCTTTGGCAGTTTTCTTGAGTTATTTCTATTTGAATTAGATATATTTCATTGCATAAGAACGTTCAGAACTTACTATGTATGAACAGATTTCATAAGCGTACTGTTTGTTGTTTTTCTTTTTTTTGAAGAGAGGTGGGAGGGATTTATACGTCAAATCCCTTTCAACAGAATGCCCCCCCCCCAAACCCCCAGTGGCTCAGCAGTAAGTCTCTGAACTTACGACGCTAAAAATCGGGTTTGGATATCTGTGGTGGGCACAGCATGAAGAGCCCATTGTGAATCTTTGTACTCAACGACAAACAAACAAAGCATTTCAACACTAGTCATTTTATATTTAAATTTGTTTTAACATAAATATGCTGGTAACATAGGACTTTAGAGAAAATACATTGACTCAAGAAAACTCATATTTTATCTCTCCGAACACGACTATAATAAAAATCACGCATTATGAGTAAAGTGTTCATGCAAAAGGTCGTTTCTAGAAGCTTCGTTAATCTTTAACAGCGAGAAAAAAATATGTTGGAACTTGAACATCAATATCTTGTACATTCTTGATAAAGTGCAGATTAATAAGAGCAAACTACGATAATGTATTGGATATTTCGCTAGCACGGCGATGAATAAGTCTTTCACCTAAATCCTTACTTTAACAACCAAACTCTAGATACTACTATTACTAGATTAAACTGTACCATAAAATCCTGCTGTGCCGCTGGGGGAGGGGCAAGACTAGAGGGAAGACAGCTAGCCATCACCATCCACCGAGAACTCTTGGGCTACTCTTTTACCAACGA